GAAAATATAAAAGAATTACCTAATGACAAAGATAAATTAAAATAAGATAAATTACTATTCATATTCAAATCAAGTGAAGCATTTGAAACATTCCTCATTTCTAATCTGCTTATTCCTAAAACATAATTATTAAACAGTTAATAATGGAAAAAACTTCTTTTATCAATTTAATTCTTCCACAAGTTAAAATTCAATCTACTTATTAACACACTTTAAAGAAATAATACTTAAAATGCCTTAGACATTCTGTTAATATGAAACACGTCATCAAAAAACTACAAGATCTCATTCCTAGCATTGAAAGATGGTGCGTGCAATGGAAAGTCCAAATAAACGCAGCCAAATCTAAACTTCTCCTCATACGCAGAAGAAAAAGGAACACACATGTCAAAAGAGGACTTTATTTATTTAACAAAATTGTTCCAATTGTTCCCTATGCCAAGTACCTCAGATTATAAATTATCGCTTAACGTGGACTAACCATATAAATTACGTCAGGGATAAGACCTTACAAATTATCAAATGTCTCTTCCCAATTGTTGGTAAATACTCCACTCTGGACTTGGGAAAAAAGTGGCTCATCTACACGTCTATGATCAGACCGATCATGACTTACGCCTCCCAAGCCTGGGCCGCCCTCACCAAAACTGACCTCAACAAATTATGTTTTGTGCAGAATCGCTATCTCAGGATTATCACGAATACTCATTATTTCGTGAGAAATAAGTGCCTACAAGATGATCTCGAGATCGACCCCTTAAATAAGTTCATCGCAAAGCAAAATCGGAAGTTCTTCAGAGAAGCCCAGAACAGCAATCATATGCATCAATTTAACCATCAAGGCACAGGAGGGTGACCACCCATGTGACTACGAACTCAAGTCTTCTACTGCTTACTGATGATCTCACACTGCTCCTATTTATTTCAAATTTCTTTTATTTTATTTATTCCAATTTTTAGTTTACTGGAAAAATATGTTTTTTATATCTCTGCAATTGAATATTTAGTAAATACAGTACAAAGTCTTTAATCCTGATGTCCATAATCTGGAATGATCTATAATCTGGACCTCAAAGCTACAAACTTTATGTGCATGTATAAATGTATTATGTGTTTACGCATGTGCATAATACGTTTACGTATGCGTATATGCATTTACGCATGTGCATAATATGTTTACGCATGCGTGTTTAATGTGCGTGTCCGCTACACATGCGCATAAAGAGAAGAGATACAGTTTATAGAGAGACGGAGACTGTTTATAGAAGAAAGAATTAAAGAGAAAGTATTAGCACAAAAACGAAGCAACTTAAACAACTTACATTGAAAGAAATGTTTAATAAAGTAAACAAATAAATATTAAGCTTTTTTTTTTTTTTTCCTCTAAATTTTGATACTCTTTAGATCATAACTGCTCTTTATTTCATAAATTAGGTTTCATATTTTTAATTGTATAATTTCTACATGCCATCTTACCAGATTTAAATTGATGATCTATAATCCAGAAAAGACCCAAATCCGGAATCGCCGAAGTCCCGATGAGTCCGGATTATGGACTTTGTACTGTAGCAAATTTTCCTTGATTTTCGCATACTCGTCTCAACAGCCAAACAGAAGACCTCTACTAAGACATATCTTTGACTGCTTCTACTGGACTCCCTGCATTCTCTTACCTTGTAAATACTTATTTTAATTTTTGTATATATTCTTTCTAATTGTGAGAAAAATGCACTTTGATGAGTTTATGCACTGAATACTTATAAAAATGCACACTGTTCCTGAAACTTGGACCAGCATCTCTCCAGCCTACCAGATGCCGCTATAGCTTCACGTGACAAAGTAGTCACACCCTCTTTCACTTTGCATCCTGTCCTTTGGACATACTCATGCATTTGCTATACCTGCAGTGTAATTATTATTTCATGACAGCCGGTATACAGCTTGCTTTCTGCAAGCTACACACAGCAATAGTGGAAAAAGGAGAGGGAAGCCTTAGACATATGAAAAGTCAAAGAAATTCCTGAAATTCTTATTTGCCAATTTACTAACTGTAGCAAAAACTTAGTTAAAAAAGGAGACAGCAAAAGCTGAAAATAATGTAAAAAAATATAGTTGGATAAGTTTTGCTTAGTGAAGAAAGAACCTGAAGGTCTCTTTAAAATAATTATAGTAATATTTTATATTGATCTGTACTTACTATGATAACTAATGTATACACTCCAAAATATGCGTTCATATTTTATTATCAACATCAAAATAACAAAAATAAGCAAATAAATGTTCTTAAAATTAATATTTTTTTACAATAATTTAATATTTTCAAATTAAACACACTTAAATTGTAACAACAAATATTCCTGTTTATGCTTCTTTTTTTTTTTTATTTGAATTTTAATATTTAAAATTTACATGCTGACCCATTTGGAGATGAACACGAAAAGATAAAAAATTTGCGTGTGCAATTTCCCACAAATCACAGTGTTTAAGATATTACAAGGTGGGAGACAACAGGCTCTGACATTTCAGAAGCAGTAATTCATTCAGTTACAGCTCCACTGGACATCACAAAAAGTCTAACTTCATGATCAGTATCAAGGGACTTCAATGATCTGCACTGCATTTGTCACCAAAGCTTCTCAGTTTCAAGAAGGCTGACAGACCAATGAATAATATAGTACAGTCAAAAGTCGTTAATTCGGACACCCATAATCCGGACCTCAAAGCTAAAAACTTTCTGCGCATGCGCCGCGTTGACACATGCGCATAGGCGTTTACGCTTGCGCGTAAGACCTTTTACAACTGCGCATATGCGTGTGAGCAAGCGCAGAATACATTTTCGCGTGCGCGTTTTATGTATAATGGATGGTATAAGATAAAATTATTTAATTATCTATTTCAGTTAATGTTGATGATTGCGTTGTTCCTTAATTTTCAAATTTGATCCGGCTTATTATTTTTGCAGACTGTAAGAGCAATACTACAAAAGGTAAACTTGAACTTTCGATTATGTAAATAGAATTTCCGATTCTGGAGCTCTCAAAGGATCGTACAAAACGAAAGTATGTTTCGATGTCCATCAAACAAAAAAGTGGAATTGATGCAAAAAATGGATAAAGACATGAAGAATGTGACAGAGAGGTTAGTGAAAACGAAAAAATTTCGATTGACAAGTTAGTCGGTATTCTCGGCACAGCAATTAACGGGACTTGAACAGTGGAACTTTGTAACTGAACAAGAAATTATGTCTGTTTATAGAATTAAAGAGAAAGTATTATCACATAAAACGAAGCAACTTAAACAACTTACATTGAAAGAAATGTATAATAAAGTAAACAAATAAATATTAAGCTTTTTTTTTTTTTGTAAATTTTGATACCCTTTAGATCATAATTGTTCTTTATTTCATAAATTACAGTTTCATATTTTTAATTTTAGAATTTCTGCATGCCATCTTACGAGATTTAAACTGATGATCTATAATCCGGAAAAATCGATAATCCGGAATCGCCGAAGTCCCAACGAGTCCGTATTAACGACTTTTGACTGTATAGCGTAAACGGTGTAACTTAAAACTCTATAGAATTTATAAAGCAAGGATATTTTTAAATCCATAAAACTAAGCAGAATGAAATGGGCAGGCCACTTTCTGAGAATGAATGCCAATAAGAACAGTCCTTAAAGTCTTTAATGCAACTCCTATTTGTGGAAGATCAAGAGGAAGACCTATGAAAAGATGGAGAGACTGCCTGGATGAGCATTTTGCCATTCTAAAAATTAAGAACTGGATGTCAATTTCTGGAAGGAGGGTGGAATAGGAAAGGTTTCTGAAGAAATCCAAGGCCCACAAGGGGCTGCTATGCCAATGCTGCTGATGACGATGATGATGACAGACCAATGATCCTGTCATTGCTCTGATATCGTTTCAACTATGATGAATCAGAGGGCATAAAATACAACAAAAAGATTCAGAGGAATGACTAATTCAGATTGAAAACTCTTTTAGACAATGTGAGAACTCAGAATGTTCTTACACTCTCAAATAAAGAGATTCTTGCACTAGAAAGATCCTTACATAATAAATAATATAAGTTGCAACAATCTTTTCTGTGCCTTCAGTATTGTTAGGTATTGTTAATAAAAACTTCTCATAGATTTATATTAAATGTATTTTAGTTTTATATGCAGTATGTAATATGCAATGTTAACAAATTCAACAAATACCAGTTACCATATGGAGTTGAACCATCACTGCTGTATACCATCATCATCCTAGTGGTGCTCTTTGGAACATGGACAGGAACATACACCTTCTCCACCCACTCACCTGGGGGAAACTACTGCACTCGCACCACTCACTGCACCTCGTTCCACAACTGCTAAACCAGGCCAACTAGCCATGCCTAACAAATGGAGAACACAGCCCACTAACACAATGATCAATAGCATCAGAGTATGGGCTCAAAACACGGAGCAAGTCATCCCTCCTCATTAGTATACAGATGCTGAGGGAGGGTGTAGGTGGACAATGAAGGAAACTAATGCTCGCAAACTCAAAAAGTTGAAGTACTTGAATACATGACCAAGAGCTCTTTTTGATAAGGCAGAGTATTTCACTCCCATGAAACGTACATAAATTCTGTCCCCAAGGCCAAACATCCTCTTGCATCCCACCTCTGATTTGACCCATAGATGTCACCACAAGCAAAGCCTTTGCTATAAACATCAAAGCATTAAACAACTGTGAGCAATAAATCACCACAGCCACACCACACCACACATTTATTTAAGAATTTTTTTAAACATTTGTTCTGAAAAATAAGATTTTATCAATTACTACTTTGTATCGTATAAAAAGGCTAAAATTCTTCACAATCACTTAATTTAAAAATTATGCCAGCAGAAGATTTTTTTTTTTTTTTTAGAATTAAACTATTTATAAACTAATTACCCCAAAACAAAATAAAAGAATAAAATCTTTGTGTCAAAAATATATTACTCACTGGCGTAGTTAGTATTATTGCATACTTTTGAAGTTCAAAGTAATCTTCAGCTTCAGTATCACCTGTTAGCTGAATACACATAGCACCCAATGGTTCAAATTTTGCCTGCCAATCCACAAAGCGTTGATTACACAGAGATTTTACCGGTGCCACTGAAACACAAAAACAAAAAATATCAGTCATTTGAATGAAAAGCAACCACTTTTTTTTATTTATTTATTTAGCAAAATATAGTCTTAGATTGATATTAATTTTATAGAAAAGCTCTACATATTCTGATAAAAATATCCCTTTTCCAAGGAGCAAAAGCACAAGTCTTTTCAAAAAGGAATCAGACCTTTAACTAGGAAACGGTATAATTACTCTAGAAATATGAAATTCTAATCCTCTTTAAAATATATTTCTTGGAGTATGCATATTTCTCTCAGTAGGCTATCCATAATGGGAAACACTTTTGAAAGATTTCTTTGAGAACAGAAAATAATTGGGCTACAAGCATTCTACACAGCATACAAATGAATTATCATATTGTTGTTGTTGTTTCCAATTCCCCTGGTTTGGGAAAGATTATGTCCAAATGACAACTCTGCAAAAGAGAATCACAAACAGAATCCTGCTCTGTTATCAGTTGTCCTGGGAAAATGCCCCTACATTTCAGGAGTTGAGCAGGAAAAGGATGGAGGAAGTAAATAAAAGCAGAGAAGAAATTTTTCCATCTGCACAAAGGTAATACAGGAAAGGTGTCTGCTACGTGTCTGTCTAAAGGGATCTTAATCCCGTGCACTGCAAAGACTGGCCAGAGATATTTGCTGTGAACCCATGGTGAACAAGAGGGGTTTCCCAGGTTGAATTTGTAGGGTTTTACAGTATAAAGTCCGTAATCCGGATGTCCATTATCCGAACCTCAAATCCACAAACTTATACATGCGCGCAAAGCATTTACACATGCGCTTTTAATGCGCACGTCCGCTACGCATGCGCATGAAGTGTTTACCCATGCGCACTTACAATAGTGAAGAAAGTGACAGAGAGGTTATTGAAAACGAAAAAATTTCGATTGACAAGTTAGTCGGTATTCTCGACACAGCAATTACACAACTTGAACAGTGGAACTTTATAACTGAACAAGAAATTATGTCTGTTTATAGAATTAAAGAGAAAGTATTAGCACAAAAAAAGAAGCAACTTAAACAACTTACATTGAAAGAAATGTTTCATAAAGTAAACAAATAAACATTAAGCTGCGCTTTTTTTTTTTTTTTTCCCCTAAATTTTGATAGCCTTTAGATCATAATTGCTCTTTATTTCATAAATTACAGTTTCATTTTTAATTGTATAATTTCTGCATGCCATTTTACCAGACTTAAATTGATGATCTATAATCCGGAAAAAAACCCTAATCCGGAATCGCCGAAGTCCCGACGAGTCCGGATTATGGACTTTGTACTGTATTTATTTTTACTAACAGTTATTTTAATTTGAAAGCTTTTCTTGTTTTCTCATATTTCCCTCACTTTTCCTTCATCAGGATGTAAATGAATTAGATTGAACACAGGATTTAGAAGAGAAGGGCTAGTTCATAGAGCTTCTCCCCCTGAAACAAGAATTGAGGAGTGTTGATGTAGTCATGTTGGCATTGACTGCAAAGACATAATTCGCAGCAAAGAAATTAACGTTTTAAATTTGGGGGGGGGACAGCCTTAAAAATGGTGCGTGAAAAAATAGCTACAATTTAGAAGAGATGTTATTACCATATGCATTTACAGCATTTAAAAAGTTAATAATACTTAATTTTAATTTTAAAGCAATATATAAAATATGCTGCAGTTTCATTTTCTTAAAAGTTGCTGGTTTCCCCCTTCTGTGCATTTATTACTAATATCATGAATTAAAAAATTAAGGAATTCATTACTTTTCTTCATTTGCATACCAAGTGGAAGAATACTAGTATTATTCTTTCCAAGATACCTATAATAACAGCTTTTTAAAGCCAGAGGGGAGGGGGGGAAAAGCAAACTTAGGTTGGCGCAGTTTTGGATATATATCTAATCCCCCCCTTCCAGCTAAGGTCCTGGAACTTTTGTTTGAGTGCCCTTGAAATCGATAACTTTACTCAAAATTTATTCTAATCAAAGCTTGCTCTTTTAACCTAATTATAAATTTTACATTGGCATGTTTCTTTTCTGATTTGATATAATAACAGATATTTTTAAAATAATTGTCTGACTTATATTCACACCTATACACATACATTTAAATAAATACAAGATCACTGTCTTCAGTTTCGCAAAACAACTTTCTCACAGTATCTGAAGAGAATTACTTAATCTTTCAAAACTGTGGCAAAGGAGGAAGATTTTTTAATGCGAAATTACTCTGACATTTTATATGATTATAAATTACCTAAAATGCCGAGCTAGCTTTATTTTTTACAGGTCAACAGAGCACTCTTGTCTTTTTTTACAGTTTGTGCATTTAGCAATTATTTGCATCGTCATTTGTAAGTTCTGTTTTAAAATCATTCATATCTGAATTATTATTCTGATCATCATTTTTGAAATCAGCCTCAAAATGAATTTTCTTCAAACTTCATTTATTTTTCTTTTCTCGGCACAGTATTGGATTCTAACAATTTCTTTTGCGCAAATCCAAGCTATTTTTCATATCATCTTCACAATGACTGCATAGAAAATGTTCACTGCAAATTCTTATGATCTTCAGATTAATAGAATTCTGTTTTCAACACATGTATCCAATTTTTTAACCAAAAGCAAATTGTCCTTTGGAAAAAATATGAAATATGATATCCCTACCTTGCTCATTTCCATGATTTTTATATCACATTGTTACAACACAAGAAGACATATTACATAAATGATACTTTACAACAGTGGTGTCAAACTTAGATTGCACATAGACCAATGCATAATTTGAAAGTAGCTAACGGGCAGCAATTATAAATTAAAAAAAAAAAAAAAAAAAAAAAAAAAAATAGAGACGGGTTAACAAAACAAAATTTGGAGCTTAAATTAAAAACTCTTACTAGATGTTTGTCAAAACATACAAATAAAAATAATGCAAAGAAAAATATAAAATTTATAATTTGCCTGAAATCTAAAAGCTGGTGTCAGCAAGAAATTTCTGTTGGTCTCAATTCCGAAGCTGCACAGACAGTTAAATATTAAAATTTTCAGATTGACTTCATTCAACTAATTGTAATATATTTAAACTAAAAAGAAATAGTATATCAAAGCTTCCCAAGAGGGACATATCTTGACAATAAATAACAGAAATCTATTCTCTTTCTTTTATTTATTAGATTTGTCTACAGCACAAACAGGAAAAATAATATTTGTATGTAAATTACCGTAAACATCTTTGTTTTGGACTACACTTTTCAGTTATAACACTTCATGACATTTCGATTTTGATGAAGTTTGTAATCTTGAAGAGAAATTACTAGAAATTATAATCACAAATTGTAGACATGCATTGCAGTCCGGTTCTTTTGGTAGACTGAATAATTTTCAACTACGAAAAAAACTGTTCTCACGTAAGTATACTCAAAAGCATTCCTATTGTAAAAATTCATAACTGAACATATTTAACTTTTGACAAGTGATAATAAAAGATAATTAAATTTGCATCTTCAAATCTTTGAATAAGATTTATATCAGTGTAAATTATATAGCTCCATTTCTAGATTTTTGCGAGTTACTCGTTCACTTTTGGTAATGAAAATAATGTAAAACTGGACCTCAAACCATTAAAATCTTAAAAGTTTTCTTCAATTCTTACTATAATAATGTTAATTAATTTACAGGAAATTTATTCGTGGGCAGCATAAAATCACTTTGAGGGCTGCTAGTTTGATACTGCTTTACTAGAAAACAAATATATATGATTAAGTCTACATTGCTAGAATCACTTTCCAAAGTGCATTTGCTGGTTCAGTCATCCAACGACTACAAAATTACAAACTTTAGACTTGGCTCACTAAGTGGAAAATCCAGGTAAATGTGGACAAGACACAGGCCATCATGTTCACAAGGAAACAGAAATTCAAGAAAAATGTCTCATTCTATGGAACCTCAATACCCTGGGCCAAGCAAGTCCCTTATCTTGGGGTGACCCTCATTAAAACTCTCTCATGGACCCCACACATCACAGTTATAAAGAAGTTTCGAGCTCGTAAAGCTAGACTCTCCCCCTTAATTGCTCGAAACAGTGTTTTGTCTACAGATAATAAGTTGCTCATTTATAAATCCATCTTGTGACCATTACTTTGTTATGCCTGCCCTGTTTAGGCGTACTCTAACAGTAATGGTAGAAAAAGATTGCAAACTGCTCAAAATAGCACACTGAGACAAATTACAAATGCACAATGGTACATTAGAAACCAACGCATTCATGAAGAGCTAAGGATCTGTCAGCTTAGATCCCATTACTACAAAATTGCCAAAAGATTTCATGTTAAGCAGAACACCATTCACAATTCTGCTGTTAAAATTGCCAGCTATAACCCCTTGATCTTGCTAACATTAACCATCCTTTGGCCATCCTGAACCCCTGGATCATATAACCTGTCACTTGTTATTTGCCATTATTTACTATGCACTTGCTATTATGTTTGCAATATGTAACACTGCTTATACTAATCTGTCTTTTTGTTTATGTGCTTATAGCCATTGCTCACACTTCACCTCACTTAAAAATGTCACTAACCCGTTTATTCCAGGTAATCACCAGCTCGGCGGCTCTCTGCTTCTGCTTTTCCAATTCACTTTAAAATTTTCAAACATGAGGTAAAACTTTAACTATAAGTTCTTACATTTATTTTTTAACATTGAATGACAATAGTAATGTTAAATCTGTAATATGCATAAAGCCAACTTTATTAAGTTGAGGGAAAAGCTATAATGAAAAAAAAAAAATAAATAAATAAATAAATAAAAACCCTCTATACCTGTATTGGTTATGCTCTAACAATGTTCGTAAAGATATCTAATGTTCTACAAGGGGTAAGGCTTTTAGCCTAGGTACTCAGGTGTCCTGAAGCACCGTCCCACTGCAGAATCACTTCACAGCAGAATGAAATTACGGTTTTAAACAGGCGAAGTGAGAGGTGATGCAACATAGTGGCATCAGACTT